TTCGCTCGCTGCAATTTAGTGATCGAGCACCCGTAAGCAATGAAACATTTTTTCCACTCTAGGCCTAGAGGACCCCATCGATGGCGCGACAGTTGCTCCAAAAAAAGGACTGGTGACAGCCTTGGGTACTGCTGCAGTTCCAGGGCTAGTTCGATCACCTTTGCCTTGAAAGGATGCATCATCCCTGACCAGGTGCTCTTCTCACGAGGGCAGAGCTCAGACACAAGAGCTCGATGCACCCTACCGACATATGCTTGACACGATGCAAGATAGTTCAAGATAGATGTTTCCAGATCTCCTTGGGCCAAATTGATGTGCTTTGCTTGTCTGCCATCGTTCAACGAAGTAACGCTGTTTTTTAACTGTTCGACATAGTTTTTCTCGTATATGGACTTAGCTTGTATGCCCAAATAGTGTAGCAAAGCCAATAATGTGGGAGCTGGAGGTTGTGCTGTCGATGATGTAGTGAAAAGGTTCCTTAATTGCGGCTCTTCCATGTCGATGATTGGCTGCGGGCCAAGTAGATCATTAAAGAGCACAAAACCACGTTTCTTCGGTACACCTTCAGGTGGCTGTGGTAGCTGGTAGGGTTGAATCTCGACCTCTTCGATCGGTTGATGGCAAATGACATTCGCAATGTCCGTGATGTATCTCTTCAGATCTCGATTGTCGAACCAGATACTGAACAATTTCGATACTTTAACAATCATCTCTTGTGCATCAAAGTAGTCATTCACTCGTGGATTTAATAGCGAAGAGGGTGATCGGGTGGGCCACTCGCGTTGGAAGTGGAGCAACAAATTTTCCATCATCGATCCTCGATTTTTGTTCCGGAGTCTATCCCTGCGCGACATGAGATTTGAAATTGTCTCATTTGCTTCGGGCGCAAGTCTTGACTCTGGAGTGACTTTACGCTGTTCCGACTCGATTTCACGGCGAATTGCATTATTAATCATCTCAGTTCCCTCTGTTGGCAAAAACAACGCACTGGTTGGCAGATGGATTGAAGCCAGCTCTGGAACCAGAAAAAGTGAAACAATTGTCTCAAGGGCAATCATGTTAGCTTCTTTGGAGAAAGCAAGAGCTGCAAGCCAGATCATGAGCTGGAAGTCACCGAGGCGGCGGGATTGTGAGCGCGCGAGGTGGTGTATACTGCACCAATTACTGACAAGAAATTCTCTCGATTCCAGTATCCACTCAGCATCGTACCTCAGCCTTTTCGTGTCCAATGAAGTATCAGGGCCATGAACCCCGATGGGTAAAGAGAGGAATTGCCAAAGATGCGAGGTCAACTGTTCGGGTTGAAGCTTGCGGACAGAAGGGATCCCTTCGTAAAGCATCTTGCAAACGGCAAAGCTTCGAGACGCTGCGCAAGATATCCGATTCTTGTCGAGGCTGTCGTACATACTGTCGTACTCCTGCGTGTGATCGTCGGCGCCGAATCCTTCGGCGCGGAATGAAGATGTGCGGATTCGCTCCCGCAGAAACAGCGCTGGCTCCACATGTGGAAGTGACGGGTGGTTCAGCTCTGTCCGAAGTTGAAAAATGCTCATGCGACGGTTTTGATCCAGTATATTTGTGACTTCCTCGCGAAAGCCATGGTGCTGAGAGAGGCAGCCTAGGCCTTGCCGCCAGTAGATGCTCTGCATCACTCGCTCATCTTCAGGATAAAATTTTCTGGCAGGAGTAAGAGATGCGATGCTCTTGAGGAGTTCAATGTGTTCTGTTTGCAAGCGATCAAAAGACCTCAGGGACGCGGACCGAAGAATAGACAGAGCCTGCTCGGTACCGGTCTTCTTGGTGAGTGGATCTGGCAGGCAGAAAGACGTAACAGCATGCAAGTACGTGAGATATAGCTTGCTCTGTAGGCTGCTATTGTCCAAAAGTCGTCCGAGCTGGCGATCAATGGGATACGCATGGATGGTGGTCGCAGGTTGCCAACCGATCTCGATCCGAACGTGATTGCCATCTCTGGCCCAAGATAAAGCTCCTTCAGGTATGAGGACCACTTGATCGCCAGAGTCACGGTTCGTAAGCAGGAGAGTGTTGCGTAGCCCAACCAATGAGTCAAGGGCTTGGTTGCTATCGACTGACATGCCGGGATATTGTCGAGATTGGATTGCAGAAGTCTCTGACTTGAGGATAAATTCCAATCGAAGGCGCGGCAGCTCAACATGTAGACTGGAAGAGGCCTCGTGGAAAATACAATGCACCTTCAAAGCCTTTTCAATTGGCCGGAAAACATTGGATAGTAACTGGGCCGTTCGGCACATGGTGCTGACCAAAGTTGTTCCGTTCCTCTTGAGGCTCCAGGAAGTTTGACAAGAGCTTCTCTGGAGCTGCCAGTTTTGACTGGATGACAGCCATGGCGCTCCCATGGGTCGGAATTCCACCAGGTCTCTTGAGACCGAGTACCAGTGCGCATAACCTTCCACAAACTCATCTGGAAAAAAGCCAGCAAAAATTCTAGACGGAACCAGTTGCCAGACTTGCTCGTCATCCTTCACCGCTTTGACTATCATATCAGAATCAGTGGACTCTGGCACGGTCTCTTTTCCGAGGTGTAATGTGTAGCCCGAATACTGCTTTTGACACGAAAATCGCATCCCCAGTGTGTTGCTGGGCATAACTTCCAATTGAGATTTTCCGAATAAGCTGCGATATGTTGGATGAGACTCATACTCAGAAGGCAAACGTGCAAGCGGGAGGCCATCCACAAGGAGCTCTCCAGTCAAGAGGTTGTAGTGCACCAACATGTCTTCGCTAGACCCGGACTGGCCGGCAATCCGAGTAAACAACCAATATGTCACGTCGTTAGACACTCTGGACCACTTTGAGGTCTTATCATAGGCAGCCCAGGCTGCATCGATGGCCAGATCTAGTCCTGGGTTCTTGCATTCAACGATACGGTCTGCAAGAATCATATGGCTGCGATAACTCAGAACTTGCCACCGATGATACAGCATCTGAAGCAATGAGCCTGGTTCTATTGTCACAGAGTTCCTCCCGTTCCAAATGACTGAACAGCACTGCAGAAAGATCGAAACATCCGCCGAGGCGGCGAACATAGGCGCAATGGTTTCTGCATTGAATGTCTCTGCGCAGACTAAAGCGATATGAACGCTCTTTGCAACTAAATTGATCTTTTGTGTATCATCGGTAGTCTCACTGGCTCTCATTCTGACAAGATTAACCCAGTGGAAAGCAGACCGGCGAAGCTCATTTAGAGACTCAAGGCAAATCGCACGGACTTTCTCAGAAGGAGACAAAGACAAAATCCTTAAAACTAGCCGAATAAGGCTATTGAGCCCATGTATGGTCTCCCAATTTTGCTGGATCCTCTCCATTGTCTCTCCAATCCGCGATAGTAGCTCGACTGTGAATAGGTCGTCGCACAAAATGGCGTGTCCTTGTCTCAACGTCGCGTCTGCTTTAGGTGGGCCCGCTTGATTGATTATCTGGAGCACAAAGATCATGGTTTCGATTTTTTTCATGTCCACCGATGGCATTGACAGTTCCAGCAGAATATTTTGCCATTGGATCTCCAGTCCCAGGGGCATGGTTGCAAGGGCCTTGTATTCTTCCAGTGACATGCCAGCAGGGGCATCGCACTGTGTCGCAATGACAGTATTTGGTGACGGTCCATGTGGATTCAAGGCAGGTCGAAAGAGGAATTGCTGCAGTGTTGAACTGTGTGCCGGGAGCTGATAGGTGCAGAATGTCTCTGTTTGATGAGTCCAGTCAAAGCCGCTCACAAAACATCCGAGAACATTGTCAAAGTATTGAAAGTAAAGTCCATTGTTGAGGCAGACATCATTTTCCGTCACATTGAGAATTAGCCTGTCGCGTCGATGAGTTCTCCCGTGAGGCTTATCCTGAGAAAGAAGACTGATCCGCTGGTCACGCCCGTGGTTGGTAAAGAACGAAGAGAGCCCTTGATATGTGTGTGGACGATGCTCTGCTCTGGGTCCTTCCTCCACCGCGTACTTCATATTTAAACATCGATGCAGGAAAAACAACGTGGTATCACGCCAGCTTCCAAAGGGCTCGGGTACTCGAAGTTCGAAAACAGTGGCTTTGGCCCTTGTACGATTGGTCGGCAGAGGCCACTCATGTACATTGATTTCGATTGACTCGGCCTGCCTCTGATAACGTTCTCGAGGGCAATCACTGCTGTGGGCTCGATCCCTAAGCCCCAGTCTCCTATCCACAGTGATGTCGACATACTCACATGGCGTCTCGGATGATAATGCCATCAATGCCCGGTATTGTTGCTGCTTTTTCCGAAGCTCGGCCTTTTTCGTCGTCCTCTCCTGAGTGGCATTTTCTTCGATGGCTGCAAGCAATTGCTGATGTGTGTGAGACTGCTCGAAGTATCGAACAGCGAAACAAGTGGAAGTCCCGAATTCCTGGAAAATCTTCGGGCCATGGTAGCGAAGGTGCGCCTGACGTCGACTCAGGTACTTTTCAGCACACGCCAACCTCTCCATGTGCGATCGAAATGGCAGCAAAAGTGATTGAAAGCAGTCAACTGGTATGCATGCGTCATAGTCTCTCAAGGTCTCATGTCGGTGAATGGCGGATTTGTCGCAGGCAATCCACAGCTCTAAGAGGGTAAGGAGCATGAGTGATGTGGCTTCAGGGTTGTCTGCATACAACGAAGACGCTTTCTCGAAATATCGAATCATCAAAGCACCAAGTTGACCACAGGTTGCCTCCTCGCTCTGATGAACCTCCAGCCACGCATTGAGATCCGAAGCAACCCAATCCTCAAAAGCAGCAAGGTTATACGCTTGGTAATCAGAATCGTGCGAATCGAGGTAATGTGGAAGCTCTGTTCGTTGGTATTTGATCAACTTGGGTTGCGGCTGGGAATATTCTCTGCACAGGCGTTTGTTGCTTCGATTTTCTATGCTCTCGAGGTAGCGGTCAAGGCAAGGAAGCGCACATTGAATATCTTGACGGAACTTCAAATCACGTAGCAGTGCCATGTTGATGGTATGGGTATTTTTGCTTCTAATCTGCGTCCACTGGCCTTGAACTGCGCTGCTTGTACGACTCAAAATTTCCCGAACTGAGGGGAACCAAGCCGGCTCATCTGCCAAGTCAAGCCGCCCCAATTCAAAAAGCCAGATAAACCCACAAAATTTCGCGAAGGCTCCGGTACATATTACCGCAACCAAAATGCCTCCCGCCACCCAACCTATCCACTGGAGCCAATGAGCCGTTCAAATCCAGCTGCAGAAAACAGACATCGTTGCTTGTGGCAGTTTAATGGGTAATCTGCTCCTCTTCGCTCGAGGCTCAGACAAAACATTCAGGATCCTCGTCGAGGCTGTCGGGGACACAGTATTCTTTCTGCGACGTGAGAAGTCGCCCTTCGAGACTATCCCAGGTGTTTATGGGTATGGACACTCGTTTCCGGAGGCATATACAGCCTGGGCATACGACATGCGGGGTTCGGAGTCATACCAGCGCATATTAGAGTACGAGTTTGCGGGTATGAAGGCTTTGATTAGATTTGAAGGAGACGGCTTTTTGCCAGAGCGTGTTCCAGGTCATGGGGACAGACCGAAGGCGCCGCCTTCCGGGCTTTCTTCAAATTCTCAGTCGTACTCGGATACTAGGTCTATTCCTAGGGATACGATGGATGAAGAGTTGCTCGAGTCGATGGCCAATACTGCAGACTCGGCTGCATACCCAACTAAATCGACAGAGCAGACAAAGTCTCTTCGTATTGAGAAAAGGGGACGGCGCATCCCTCAATCTACAGTGTTCGATTTAAAATCTCGATCAAGGACAAAGATAGATGCTGATACAGCGTCAGAAGAGATGCCCAGGTTGTGGGTTGCTCAGATCCCAAACTTCATGCTAGCACATCATGAATCCGGAGTCTTCACATCGATCAAGATCATTGATACAAAAGATGCTATTCAAGCATGGGAGGAGGAAAATCAAAAAGCCTTGGCAGAGTTTGCGGCCCGTTTGAGGAGGTTGGTGGCATTTGCAAGGAGTATGGAGAAGTTTGAGATTGTTCGGGAGAATGTTGGCAAAGAGCTTGAGTTACGAGAGCAGGGAGGGGATATCACTGGTGTATTACCGCCTGATTTAATGGAGACATGAGAGCATGGCAGCTAGACCACTTGAGGATGTGATTTCAATGAGATATTTAGTACAGCAATACACGTGCTCCCTTACTTCGTTAAACAAGTTATTCCAACGGTAAAACAAGAAATCAAGATAAAACCCAGTTGCTCAAGAGTGGACATCAAATTCTATCTATCTATATATAAACGGTTCGGATGAGACGATACTCATAGTGAAGGCGCTAGGTAGATATTCAATATTTATGGCCAGCTTCGAAAAGCTTTCGTTCACTGCTTCCGCCCCCTTTCCTATGGACCCCTTCTTGACTGCTATTGCTTTCAGATCCAATTTGGATTGAGGTGGTGCTGTTGGGAGTACGGAGTTGGTCACGATTTCTTTGTCTTTCAGTAACTTAAACGAAACATTAATTCTGCCCTCGTTCAACTTTCGTGGGCATTTTTAGCCGTACAAATGTTACAAGCCGGATATCACAGGAGCACGGATGCGGGAGCTCACAAAAAAGACGTGCGTTCCGCATGATCAAGACCAGACTAGCTGTAAGATCGGCTCACAACAAGCTTTTTGTATCCTGCAGCAGGCTCGACTGGTAAAATACGAACTGCAGGCTAATTTTCCAGAGCTGCCAATGCGGGAGGCCGCCAATGCGGGAGGCCGCCAATGCGGGAGGCCGCCAATGCGGGAGGCCGCCAATGCGGGAGGCCGCCAATGCGGGAGGCCACCAATGTGGGAGGCCACCAATGCAGGAGGCCGCTCATGCAGAAAAAGTCAAAGTCAGTAAAGTGGATATCTTCCTTACTGACTTACGCTATCGAAAGTCGTTTAGCGACGCGATTCAATCCTAGGTCTCCTATCTATCTACCAAGTTATCTGTCCTATCGTCTCTCTGCATAGATACCAAGCAATGGCCCCAGTAATACATCGTTAGAGCTAATAGCTCTTGTAATCCGGAGCAAAAGCGCACATCGAAAAGTTTTTTACACCGCTGTTATCTCAGGATATGGCGGTACACCGAATAGGGACATTAGGTCTAGGCCATAAATAAGAGATATCCAGTATCTAAGACCAGACCGAAATTCCAGAATAAAGATTTTGAAAATGTCGAGCTCCAAAAACAGAGAACATCAGAGTGGTTCGTTACTATCTACCTCGATGATCTTTCTCAAAAAAGATTGCGTTTTTTCTACAGGTGACCACGAGGCTGATCACGGATTTAGATCCGAATCTAGCATATCACCTGAGTCTCTTGAAGATTGATGATTCTGATGACCGCGACGACGACATCGTGCTAGCTCCCATCTTCACGGGCCCAGTTCTCAATCAATCCGATCACACCCCATCCCAGTTTGGCCTATTGGGAGGATTGAAGAAGCTAGAAGCACCTGGCTTTCCAAGTTTTCGCCAACAGCTTTTTGAAAAAGACCCGCGACTATTTTTCAATGTTTCATCGCCATCAAGCACCTTCATCTGCGGCTCTCAGGGCTCGGGTAAAAGCCATACGCTATCCTGCATACTGGAGGGCTGTTTGATTCCCTCCGAGGCTGGTAGACTTTCAAATCCCTTGACAGCTGTCGTTTTTCACTATGACACTTTCATTTGCGATAATGGCGGCTCTCCTTGTGAGGCTGCATTCCTCGCGTCTCATTCTCAGATCAATGTCAGAGTTCTGTGTGCTCCAACAAACATTAGAACTATCCAGGTAATATAAATTTACTCTCGAAATGTTACTGCCTCTAACATATATCTTAGAGGACCTACGCAAGGTTCAATATCAAGGTGGAGCCTTTACAGATAGATCAAGCCAACTTGAATACCAAGCGCATGCTCGATCTTATGGCTGTGGGCCAAGATAAAGGGCCAGTACCTTTGTACATGCATACCGTCCAGCGTATTCTACGAGAGATGCGCCTTCTGCAGCAAGAGCACGCATCCCAATTCGATTACCAAGAATTCAAAAGGCGGGTTCTTGATTCTGATCTTCTCCCTGGTCAACTTGAGCCATTGAAACAGCGCCTAGAGACGCTTGAGAGCTTTATGCCTTCCCAGCAAGCAAAGCCACCGAGTGGGCTAAACAAAAAAAAGGGAAAATGTCAACGCACAGGCTCGAGCTGGGCACCAAAGGTCAGACTCTGACAGTCAGCCCTAGTATCGCAACGAAAAACTAATTTAACTTCGCCAGCCATCACAATTGACGATCATTGATCTTTCCTGTCCGTGTATTTCTCCTGATACGGCGTGTTCCCTGTTCAATATTTGCTTTGAAATATTCATGGAACAGGACACGAAAATTGGCCGAGTAGTTGCACTCGACGAGGCCCACAAGGTTCGTCACTCTCAAATAGAATCTCATGCCGATAGCCGTTGACGCGCTCTGTGTAGTATATGAAAGATTCAGTCGAAGCGCGCAACTTTACAGACACCCTTCTTTCAACTGTCAGGTTGCAACGCCACCTTGGGGCCCGCATCCTTATTTCCACCCAAGAGCCAACAATTTCAAGCGATCTCCTCAGTCTATGCTCGGTCACCATTGTCCACAGATTCTCCTCGCCAGCATGGTTACATGCATTACAAGGGCACGTGGCGGCGGCAGCTTTGGGGACACAACCCAATAGGGAAACAACGGCCGCCACTGAAGAAGACTTAGCAGCGCCCGAAATATCAGGTAAGTTCTCATTGTTCTACCGAATTGTCAATCTTCGGGTGGGTGAGGCCTTGCTGTTCTCCCCTGCCGCGGCATTGTGCTCTGCGGCAGAAACACCTAGCTCTCCAGGCTTGAGTAGACTAGGTGCTGGATATTTAGTCATCAAGATCCGAAAAAGATTGACGGAAGATGGTGGAAAAAGTGTTACATCGTCTTAGGAGTGCAAGATGAGCAAGATGAGCTAGCCATTAAACGATTCCACCTCATTGCAAATGGCCTGTGTTACCACTTATCAGAAATGATTAATCTTTTAAGATTTTTATCAAACTTCAACTACGCAGGACCATGTCTAGACACGACGCTTTATGACTACAACTTGTCTATTCTATTGAAGGTAGGGAATACAACACACACAGAAAACAAGCAATGAGAGTAAATCTCCGCGAGAAAATATGGTTCTGACTCTACATGATTGAGTGACCATATAAAAGACTCAATGCACCTACGTGGCCTGTGTACTCACTCTAAAGCATCAGTGCTCTCAAGAAAAGACTAGGGGCTTTTTACTTCGAGTATATAGCTCTGAGGAGGGCGCTTCTGGCCAAGTGAAGAACCCCTGGCGAGCGTTCACAGGGCCTAGGATCAAATCTTACATTCCGGTGAACTCCTGCGCACTTTGCTAAGTTCACACGGTATGTGGCATGTTTAATATCACGTTGGAGCTCTAAAGCAGAATTTAGCGTCGCATGATATTCCTAGTTAGTACTGAGGTAATCAAATCACCAGCCAGTTCATTGACTGATTGAATGAACTATGTCATTTCCCCACAAATAGGATGGGTCGGGTGCGCGCTGACCCATTTTGTCCTAAAGGGTGACTAGCGGTATACTTAGTTGAGCACAGTATCATCAGCTGAATAAGATTCTCGAGTATATGACAATGATTAGCTCTAGAATCGAGACAGTCCCACAAAAGCCCAACTGAAACCAATCAGAATGCCCGAACTTTCTATCACTAGGTGGACTGTCTCCCTATTTCCATAGGGCTCAGGTTCGTCTGCTCCCACGCAGTAAAGCGAAAGTTTGATTTTTGAGCTCAATGGTTCTTGGAATATACTAAGTTTTCAATGCACTTTTTGGAAGTTTCGCCGATGCTAATGACGAGATGAAGAAGCAAAAATGGCGCCCGTGGAAATACGAATGATGACGTATGGAATGAATGGCAAACATTCTGGATAAGTAAAACAAAAATTAAACCTGCCAGATAGGGTCTAGGAATACTTACTGCGGAGGACCGTGCATTTGAACTGACTCACGATTCTGCATATTGTTTCACGTACACGTCGCACGGTGTGATTGGCGCGAGAGATTCCGCAATGGTCACCCTTGTTTGATACATCATATGCACTTCTTCACGCAGGTAGGATGATGCCCATCTAAGTATAAGAAAGAGATAAACTTCAAGCATATGCGTCAAGTTGAAATCGTATCTCTCGGTTGTGTATGATATCAAGCTTCCTTGATTTTGTCCAATTTTCTTACCACATTGACCGCCAAGATGAGCAACGTGAAGCCCCGCGCCTACCAACTTGAAATGTTTGACATGAGCATGAAGAACAACATAATAGCTGTGGTAAGATTCAAGCTTCAATAGGTCCGCGGTATGCCCAAGACTGAAAGCGAATCAATAGTTGCCAACGGGAAGCGGAAAAACTTATATGTGCGTATTGCGTGATTGGATATCAGATGACCTAGCATTGATGTTTCAGTAGAGCTAGCATGCGAATTATGGCGGAACTGGAACGCTGCCAGGAACATCAGGTAGACAAATTCCCCGTCGCTGACCACGAAGCACTACTAGACATTGTTATCTTTAGATGGTGTGGTTCTTGGTACCGACCAAGGTCTTGTGCAGCCAACAGTTAGAATATCTGTCACGATTTATGCCCGCAGTCAGCATGAGAATGCTGACAGGAGATGATGAAGTTGACTGTTGGCGCAATCAACGTATTTGGGACACGGCTCTTCGGGGAATGAAAGTCGTGTTTTCTACCCATGCCGTGCTCGCCGATGCACTCACTCACGGCTTTATATCACTGCACCAACTTGCTTTGATAGTGTTTGATGAGGGTGCGAACTGAGAAGACCGGATCCTTGCCTTTATCAAGCTGACGATATACAAGCCCATCATTGTATGAAATCACATCCAGGAAACCGCATCATGCGCGATTTCTATCATGTGGCCAAGCTAGAAAACTCGACCCTTCCCAGTATCCTCGGCCTCACAGCCTCAGTTGATGTGGCTAAAATTCCGTGTGTGAAGCCGTGCCATGCTGAACAGAAATGCAACTAACAAATTTCAAGGAAGCTTGAACAAAACCTGGACGCAGCCTGTCGAGCGCCATCACTACAGCGTGAAGAACTGACGGAGTATGTCCCTCACCGGAATCTCACTAGAATTTCCTACAACCAAATTTGCGATGGCATGGTAAGCTCTCCAGCTTTTCTGGACACACTGGAAAAGGTGGTCATGGAGTTGCGTGAACACAGCAAAAGCGAAGTCTATATCCCTAGCGAACTTTTCAAGGTCCCCTCGAAAGCGCGGGCTATTTGGCATCACTTAGGAGCATGGGCTTTACAACACTTCTTGACAAAAACCCTTCAACAGTTCGTCCAGCACATTACTAAACACAAAACTGTTTCGTCTGTTCGGTCATATAATCACAGATTTACGGCTTTGAGAACCGTACTGAACAGTATTGTGGACGGGCCCGTTATCAGCCTACAGTTGCCTAGCAGCATTTCGAATAAAGTGTCACAACTCCTATCATTTCTGAAAGAAAAGAATCACTCGGACTTTTCGGGTATCGTTTTCGTTCGAGAAAGGGTAACCGCTCATCTTCTATCCGCGCTACTTGGTGCTCACCCATGGACTCGAAATACGTTCCGATGCGCGCCCTGTGTCAGCAGCTCTGTCCGATCTGAATCTTGGGCCAAACAAGACGCTTCATCTGTTGAAATGAATGAGGACGTGGTGCTGAATTTCCGGAGTGGCTTGAAAAATCTGATCATTGCTACCAGCGTGCTAGAAGAAGGTATTGATCTCCCAGCGTGCCACCTTGTCATTTCTTTTGACCCTCCAGACAATATCACATCTTTTATCCAGCGCCGAGGTCGAGCACGACAGGGCGTTTCGGAATTTGTTGTGATGAAAGCAGCAGATGATGAGTTCATTACCGCGTCTTCAAAGCAATATGGCGACCTTGAAAGGCAAATGCAAGATATATGTCTGGACCACCAGCGAAGCTATCAGGTGCCAGAGATAAACGACAAACAATTAGACGAGGTCTTTCTCCAACTGCGATTGGACACGGGGTTTGCTTCTCCTGTCTCAAGATTGCCTATAAGCTAGCTGACCCATGTCAACCTTCTGCAGTGCCCTGTTGACCAGCGAAAACGCCATATCCCATCTGTATCATTTCTGCGCAACCCTGCGAGGTGAACCGCCTAGCGAAACCCATCCCACGTTCTCGTACAAGAAGAACAGTGAGGGACGGACACGATCAACAGTTTATCTGCCGAGCGGCATCGACCGTTCTTTACGGATTGTGAATGGCCACCATTGGTGGGGAACCAAGCAGTCAGCCCGAGAGGATGCCGCCTTCCAGGCCGTGCGTGCCTTGCATGGTCACAAACTCATAGATGATCATCTTCTTCCTTTGTTTTCGGACGACCCATGGACCAGTGAGATTCAAGAAAATGATATTCTCGCGGAGCTTCCCGATGGAGAAAATCTGATTAACTTCTGGAAAGGCATTCCGGGGCTTTGGACAGAGAGAAAACTGTACAAGTGCCGCATCAACTTCGCCACAAACGGGGAGGACCGGCCAGAACTTGCAATGGCGCTCTTTACGCCTGTCAAGCTACCTGTGAATAGCGACCTAGATCTTTACTGGGATAAACAAACCCCATTCACCGTTACCTTGCAGCCTCTCAATACCGAGACTGCTATTTCACCGTCCTCCAGATACCTTCTGCGGGAGGTCACGACGCTACTCTTCCAATCGACGCGCGCAAGTCTTGCACAGGAACAGTATCCAGAGTTTTTGCCTTTTTTCACCCCGGATCTTCCTTTGCAAGATTTGAAAAACTGGCTCAGTGTCAATCAAGGGTCTATCACCATTGGTGGGGGCCAAACTAAAGTTCCGATTCTTGCCCCCTCCGGCTTTATCCGCAGCCCTAGCCTTTATTTTGTCCCACACATTTTTGTGAGATGGATTCAAGGGCTAGATCCCAAGGAGCTGTTTGTTGAGTGCCGCAAATTTAGAAAGAGAAAGAACCTCCTTCAGCGAGCTCCGTTATCTTCCAGAACCTTGAACGAAGCCGAATCCTCCAAAACAACCCGCGTAGCGGCCGCGGAATGCATCCTTGACTCCCTGCCCTGGGAACTGGGTCAAGCCAGCCTCGCGATTCCGCCAATCATACAACTTCTGCATCGACATCTCATGGCAAATGAAATACAAACCAAGATGTTTAAAGATCTACCTGTGATCGACTCAAGCTATCTCCAAGAAGCAATCACAGCGCCTTCTTCTCAATGGCCAAGCAATTACCAGCGCTTGGAATTTTTGGGTGATTCCATCCTCAAGTTTGTGGTCGCCTTACATGCCTTTTCCAAATATCCTTTGTGGCATGAAGGCTATCTGTCAAAGTTCAAGGACCTGCTCATCTCGAATGAGAGGTTGACGTGCGCAGCGGCCAATGCTCATCTAGAAAGGTTTATCTGTGCTGATTTCATCACACGAAAACACCCAGTCTTCTCACCGGTTGTGGATCAATTGCAGAATAGGACACTTCCTAGAAAGGTTTTCGCGGATGTGGTCGAAGCGCTCACAGCAGCAGCCTATGAATGTGGTGGAATACCGCTCTCCCAGCAGCTTCTTGGCATATTTCTCCCGGAACTTTCTAACATCTCAACCAAACTACAACGTACGCGAGACAAAGACCACACGTTTTTGGTCCACTTAGAAGAGAAAGTCGACCTACTGCTTGCCTTCAAATTCCAGGACCGGGCCCTGATTTGGGAAGCACTCACACACCCATCATGGCAAAGAGACAACACAACTGGGTCTTATCAGCGGCTCGAATTTCTGGGAGATGCGATTCTTGACTTTCTTGTTTCGAAGAATCTGTACAATCAGCATCCCAAGCTTGCTGAAGGTCGAATGACGGAGCTTCGAGCTGCTTTAGTCAACGCCGACTTCTTAGCATTTCTCTGCATGGAGCTCACCTTGACCGAGCCATTTTGTTACAAGCCAAGTTCGATACCAGAAGATTGCGAACCGAGCACCCTGTCCAAAACTACTCCTTTGTGGATGTTCATGCGTCACGATGCTCCAGAATTAATCAGGATTCAGGCTTCATGCAGCGAGCGGTATCGAAGACTCGGCGATAAGATCAGAAGAAATTTAGAAAAGGAGGTTTCATATCCTTGGGCCACGCTCGCTCAGTTGGCACCACCCAAGTTCTATTCCGATCTTATTGAGAGTACTCTTGGAGCTATCTATATAGATAGCGGAGGTTGTATAGATGCATGCGAGAAGTTCTTGGAAAGAATGAATCTGATAGCTTATCTTGAGCGTTTTGTGGGGCAGGCGGTACACCTCGAGCACCCCAAGAACGCTCTGGACCGCATTCTTGGTACTCAGAGACCAGATTTCCAATTGGCACAAAATGTTGACGGGCTTTACAATATCTCTGTCTGGCTAGAGGGTGCGAAGATCGCATCTATCGACAATTGTCTAACAAAAAGCGAGGGGGTTGTGCGAGGTGCCGATGCGGCATTAGCATATTTGTCATAAACCTGACTGCGAAAATGGAAGTCTTCCGTACTCAAGAGAAGTCATCTCTAGTAAATGGTTTATAGATCCATCTCGTTAAACAGACATACGTGGCGTGCTTACGCATTTAGTTCCTGTTGCGGGCTGGGAATAATGAGAGGCATCTTCTATCAAAAGTTGATTACATTTTGCGAGACCGAAGTGATTTACAGCATCGAATTAATATACACTGAACTTCCGAAAATAATCTAGGGAATTGGAAAAGACCAATGAACATTAATTTCGACGTGGAGACTTGATAGGCTATAGAAATAAAAAGGAGGATCATAAAGAAGCATCACACATAGAGAAGGTATATTCTACGAGAGGCGACTTTCGGAATAAAAGATATTCCCTCTCCGGTGGACATAATATATATTTCCTCCTGAAGCCCCGCACCAAGCAGTTACACAACTCTTGTCATAGCTGACCTTGACGTCTCAAAATACTAACTGAAGTTGCTTGTCAACATGGCGTCAACGACCCGCTACTGTACCCGTTGTGAGAGAGGCTTCTCCTCGACTGATGCGCGGCAGCAGCATATTAAAGACTCCCCGAACCACAATATCTGCCATCACTGCTCTTCGCCGCTTGATTACGCAACAGAACGTGAATTAGATGATCATCTAGAAAGGGTGCATTATATATGTGCACCTTGCGATAAACAATTCAAAGCTCCGAACCAGCTTGTCCAACACGACGTTGCGAAACATAATATGTGTAACACATGTCGCCGGTACTTCTACAATTCAGAAAATCGGAACAACGTTCGTTACCCGGCCCAATTATGATACCCCAACTTTCTTTCTAACGCCTCAAACTAGCATATGATTACCCATGTCGAAAAGAATATCATCTGCCCAGGGTGTTCACGAAAATTCGTGACGCACTCGGCGTTAATATTGCATTTGGAGGCTGAAACATGTGTCTCTGGAATTGGCCTTGAGGAGATAAATCAGCTAGCATTTGAGTGCTATCAGGCACAGCATTATAGATGTGATGATAATTCGTTCGATTTTCAGTGCTCACGCTGCCAAACACCGTTCGCGTTCATGAGTGGCCTTCTGCAACATGCAGAGAGCGGCTACTGTGGCAACCTTTTGGCGGAAAACAGCTCGTTGAGCAATTTTCTTCGCTTTATCAGATCACGCATTGCTTGAATCATGTAGAATTTCATCTCTCTCAACCAAGCGTATTTTAACATTCCATAGGAAACGTATTCTTGCAACAACAAATTAAGATGGCTTGATGGATTATTCATTGGTGTTCTGACGCAGTCGATAGGAACAAAGAGAGTGACTTCATTTGTCGCCGCGGTTTTTTTGACCGTAACGTCAGTTAGGGACTGTCTGCGACAAGTGGTCTGTATTGCAGTGCCTTTTATATACAGAATAGAGAGGCAAGGTGGGAAAAGCAAAATCGAGTCTTGCCTGCTTGAGGGGAGACGAACGAGCAGCATGGAGCTCAGAAAATAGTAGCGACCCGGGACTATGGGGGGTTCTTCAAAAACATTGATCTTGATCGATTGGGGCTCCCGACACTCCTTTGCTCTTGTGGGATAGCGTGGAAAATATTTCGGAGATCGTCTGAGGTAGCATCACTGGATGGTCGCATAAATCCTAAGACTACATCATACACCCTCCAGGAACTACGAGCGAGACATATGTCTTTGCAATTTACTAGGAACATTGAAGCACTTCCACTACCTTACTTGGGGTCCTCGGATTGATTCACTAAGTTAACTTTCAGTCCGAAGAAGCCGAATACCTCCTCGCCCAAGTTGATCTTAACCTTTATAGCGAAACCCCAAATTTAGGCTTAGTGGACAAATAATGACTCTGGATACTATGACAGGGCCCCACGTGAGTGCTGCCGATTAACCGGCTTGGAATCAATCAAATGCACGCATATTATTTGTGAGTCATTTACTTGACAGAGAGTAGTGCATCAAAGCGATTCTCCGCCTGCCGCTGTGACGTGGCCAAAGCGAATTTCAGTGTGAAAGACACTTGGTACGGGACATGAGATGCACCTCTTTTCCAGCGTTCGGAATTCCACAAACGCATACAAGTAAATTAGACGGTGAGGGGAGGCCAGTGTTGAAAAGAAGAATGGCTAATACAGATTACATACATGCATGGCTACCCAATCTGCACTGATAAGCAAATTTAGATAAAGTGGATTTCACAATCGTCTTATCTTTCTGTTGCCTGGAAATTGTCTTTGGACCCACCGGGGGAGGGTCGGTCTCTCGGCTGGCATGGACTATTTATATCTGGCTTCGGCTCACGATGTTGCACTATTCACCTCCCATTTGGCCACCATCTGACAACGCCAGCCATGGAGCTTTGGTCACGGGGAAATGATGACCCAGGGGCCTATACGGCCCATCTTCCGAGTTCATTCTCCGTCAACCTACCACCCAGGGCGGGGAATGCGTCTTCAAGCTGTCCTCCGACCGATGCAATTTCCACGATGTTCGAGTCAAACATCACCGAAGAAGATAAAAATCCTGAAAATCCCACCACAGGGCCTGCCTTTCTATATCCAACTGGAATATCGTCTCCTGCTCTACAGGAAATCGTCGATGCAAATGAGTCTCTGTAGAGTACTGTATGCGACGAATTCCTGAACAACGAAAGCGACACGTCTGGTAGTTCTTCTTTTACGAACTTGACTGGCCCAATGATAAATATCAATTATGAGTCTGTGGATCATGACGCGGTAGCAATGTGCGACTGGAAATCTGAAGAAGCTGAGATGCCTTCAGATGAAGTGGTCGCCTCTTCGCCACGTGATGAACTGTACTTGTATCAATTCGAAGAATGTCAAAGGCTAGAAGGCTATGGTCTTGACTGTCAGTTGAAGTATGTTCCAAAATCGATTATACCTTTGCTCATCTTCTAATGAATCTCAGGAAACGTGTTCGAGTACACACTGTACTTTTCAAATGTGCCGAGTGCCCATACAAAGCAGCTGCAAAAAAGGACGTTGCTCGGCACGTCAAAGTTAGTCACAGGAATCTAGCTGAAAGAATTTGGGGTCCCAAGGAGCTGTTTGTCTGCCCTGTATGCAAGACGAAATTCACACGGAAAGACAACGCTCAAAAGCACTACAAATTAAAGCATCATCGGTAGATGCACCATCGGAATGGCTATGCTAGAATATCCTGAATACCATGCTCATTGTTTATTGCATCATTCTTTGTTCTCGTTGGTGGCTTGCATTATTTGGAGCTTCTAATATAGTGTAAGTCGGGATTAAACTCCCTCTCGGAAACACAAATATCCTCTCCAAACAGTCATTGGAACGGCTTCAGTTTTGGGAAGCCTAGCTATATCTACCTACTTGTGTCAGGGTCCGGATACTGGCCGGAGAGCAATGCGTGATTATCCCCAGGTGAACGTGTTCATGAAGTCTGCCAGTTTCCAAGTCTGATAAGTAGACTCACATATCTTCACAGCCTGGCTATGATAATCTTTCGGCTCAGTGAGAGCTTCTAGATGTCGATGACAGGGAGTGGATTTTCTAAGTCTGTGTACAAGGATCGACAGAAATTCTCTCAACAAGAACACAATGCCCGCTAAATTCGATTAATATTTTGCTCTACAATTTCTAAATGTTCGTTGAATCAATTTGTTTTTCAGGAATCCTTTGCTTTTTTTTAAAAAAAGTATGTCATGAAATAAAAAGTCACGTTATTTCTTATCTTGGGCCGAGGGTGGGCACGAGATGTACTATTTGACCTTTTCTTTTTTGGGACTGGGCTTGCGCTCTTTTGACACATGACCTGCAAGCGATACAGTCTGTTCATGTAGTGAGGCCCACCGGCTGCAGAGCTACGGTGGGACTTCAAACGTTTCCCGGTTTCTCTCTAGTACTGTATGCATGATCAAGAGATTTTTCAAATCTGAAATGCACAAATGGGCTATGGACTCAAGGGAGATACATACTGCATTATTGAATCTCTGGGATGAGCTTGTATATACACTTAAACGAAGACAAGAGAGATATAACTTGTACGGATACGATTGTTGCTAGAACTGCAAGTATGTGATTGGTGATGCATTCAAAACATGCGGCCCACCATGCGGGAGGATAACTATGTAAGTTACTCGTATGGAACAAGGCCATTGAGAAGTGCCCAATGTGCAATAGATGGGACGTGGAAGCCTTTATTGGTACGTTGTCGCTACCATTGGAAGAATCGTCAGTTTTCGACATCGGCATCATCGGCATCACTATCCTACGCATTGTTCATATAATACTCTTCCGTGCGCAGCTGACGTCAACTTATTGGAGAAACTGAACTCCCCAAAAATGCGTTTATTACTTATGCCAAACATTTTAAACGCGAAGAGACGATGGCTGAAGAGAGTGTTGGTGGATCAACCAAACTTTGGATGGATTACCTATCTTTCCATCCGACTTTTCAAGATTTGAGAGATTTGAAGAGAAGTGTTCGTCAATAATTCTCCGTTTTTACGTTGAAGACTAAATTTATAATTCAGGAATGATCAGACAAAGGCGGTGATACTTTTTTCGAGAACCGGAGAAAGAAAGCAACTAGACCGAATCAAAAAGGAAAAGCTTCGTTCTATGAAATGACAAAGCAGGTGGGGAGAGGGATGGCATTGGAAACGAGCATATTTAGACTGGACTCTGTTGAAATTTACAGTGCGGGAACGAGTTAAACGCGTGCTTGTAAAAGGCCACTTCCAGTATCTAGAGGCGAGAATCATAGATGAAGCCTCACGGCGTGGAATCGGATTGGCACATAGAGGGCCATCGTGATATATCACTACACCACTAAACACCACATTCCAACTACAGACAAAATTGCAGATGGGTTCACCAAGCCTCTTGGGCGAGGACGATTTGAGTGGTTTCGGAGAGGGCTTGGCATTGAGTGACACCTCTCGGCTAACCGATCTCAGGTAGAGACTAAGCCGTACAGGTACTCTTTCCTTCTTTTCCCTTTG